CCCCTAGATTTGCCGCCATGGGCCACGGTCCATGTGGCCACCCCCTTAATCCGGCCCTGAGTCTTGTGGGTTGCTGTTAGTTAGTCTATTACCTACCAATTTTGTTCATTTGCAAGCACCAGCTTCCACCATCAGGATCCCTCCATATCCTTCCTGTCTTCTTCGTCTACAGCTTTGTCTATCAATACCACCCGCTATACATCAAAGTTCCTATAGAAAACTAGTAGCCAGTACTGGACGTCCAATAACTAGCGTGTTGGCCGTTTGTCCGATATAATTACCAGGAAAGCTACAGTAGCCAGATTTCTGGTAGTGGTTACTAGATTTCTCGCGGAACATGCATTGGCAGACAGTCTACGTACTCCTTCTTACTTTTTCATTCCTGTAAATGGATTTAAAAGAGGAATTTGCCTTTTAGTTACCGACGTTCTTCCATTTGCCACCATTTTTATCTAATTCTTAGATTCCTTTGCTGCGTTCCTGTAGAAGGCGTCTCTCCTATCTTCAATTTTTCTGGAAAATATTTTGATTTCTTTCCGCACCTCTTCAAAGTCTGGAAAAACAATTGCGAGAAGTCGAGAACTCGCTTCGTCTGTTGTTGTCGAAAACGATTTAAGCTGCCAAGACCCAGAAACCAATGGGAGCGTGGTGGTGGTCAACAAGTGTACCGATGAATGAACGAGAAAGTGATGAAATCAGCGCTCAACTGCATTTCATGTCTGTGTGCGTATTTCCGATGGTGTCCCTTGTGCCAGTGTAAGTGAGGTAACTCGATTGATAAGTTGGTCAAAAATCCCCCGCGTCAGCAATCAACGCAACTATTGCCAAATTTACCCAAACGCATTGAGTCTTCCTCGAATCACGGGGAAATTTTTTGCAAATCGTGTAAAAGTTTCCACCATCGTACCACATTGGCTCGACTCATCCACTTAGGTGTCACCAACCTCTGGTTAACAACAACAAAAGAACGGGCTCTATTGGTCGAATCGTTGGCTTGTTTAGTTTTTCTTGTTTTTTTCTTTTTCCGCGTGAGAGCGGTGGCATCAGGACCGAAGCTAGTGCCTCTCCCTCTCCCCTCCTTAGCTTTCCCATCTTGTTTCTCTCGTCCTTTACGTTTTCATTGCTGTTTATTCCAAGAAATGTTGTCGTGTAAGTTTGTTTTCAAAAAGTAAGGAACAATGGTAAACAGAAAGAAAATGAGATAATTTTAGGTATAGAAACAATTCGGTGCATTTACCTCGAGAAATTTTCTTTTCGATCCCGTGATTGCGTTATGGCAACTTGAATCGGCGTTAATGGTGGCGTTAATGGCGGCGTTAAACACGTGGGAGCTTACGAGTGGAGGGCTACGAAATGAACCGCGATATCGAACAGTGGCCAGGCGTTCGCGATCGATCATCGATCTTTTCTCACTTGATGCCAGGCCCGCCACATCTCATCTCGGGCCCTGGTACCAGTTTTAAGGCCCGGGCCCCAAGCACGGGGGGGGGTCCGAGGGGCATTCCCCAAGAAATTTTTGAATTTATAAATCTATTCCGACCCATTTTGAACCTTCCATGACGAAATTTTCCATCAATTTCTGCGGAATAATTACTATTTTTTTTCTACTTTCAGCAAAAAATACTTGGGAATTCTTCCATTCAAAACATCTGGAAAATTTTTATTTTTTTTGGGGGGGGGGCATATGATACTATTTTCGATTCTAAGGGGGCCAGGCCCCCCTGGACTCCCCCTTCGTTTGTCTATGGCAAGAAAGTTGAGCCATGAGCCATTGAAGTTGAGGATGGCCTGACTGGACACTCTTAGCATCTGACGACGGGAGAAAATGAAACGCAGTTACTAAAAATATCCTTTTGTACTGAAAATCTTGAAAGTAGATAAAAATCTTCCAAGAGGTACACTTCTTAAAAAATTTAAGAAGAATCCTACAGTGTCCCAGCGTGTTTTTAAAAATGTATTCACCTTTTGCGAAATTTTTAAAGTAAATTTTTCACTTTTCCCTACGAAAAAAGGGTTGGATGTGAATTCGTAGTGGTTTTTCACGGGCAGCACGGGCCCCCTCTAGTGCCAGGGACCCAGTATCCCCTCCATGTGGCGGGCCTGCTTGATGCTATGGTAAAGAATCGATTATTAGGTGTTAATTGCGAACACCATGTATATCGATCCTTTTTCATAGGTTTAAATGGCAGATCAATCGACTTATCGCAAAGCACGTTACGCCACTGGCACTGAGGCATCTTTGAAGATTTTCGAAACTATTACACTTGAAAGGGTGTCAGCCAGAAGAGCGAATTGGACTGTAAATTGCAATTAAGAACTACAGTTTCTGGCTCAGTGGCGTGGCGCGCTTTGTGGTCTATCGATTGTTAAGTCATTTAAACCTGTGGAAAAGGATCGATAATCAGGGTGTTCGCAGCGAACACTTTAATAATCGATTCTTTACCATAGTTTAAATGGGGAAATATCGATACATCGCAAAGCAAGCTACGCCTCTGTTCTGGCTCAGTTTAGAAACAACGTATGTGCCATGAGTTTCCTTATGCACGTAAGCGTTTTTACAGATGGGCTAGAAATTGTAGTTTCTGTGGGTATAATTGCAAAATGTAGTCTGATTGTTAGTTACAAGGGTGCAGAAAGTTCTTCGGAGCAGAGAGCAGTCGCAATCCTCATCTCGCGGTATTACCTCTCACTTGAGCAATTTTCTCACCATACGAAACCATCTTAGTTACACCTACGCGTAAAGTGAGAAAATATCCATAATGGACCACTTGACAAGGTACGAATTTAAGCAATCTGATACATGTTTCCTTGTCAGAATTTCACGCAGAACACAATTCGTGCAACGAAAATTACTGGAACAAACTCCAAACGAAGATATTAACGTTTTTATTTCACATTGGTTACGAGGAATTTGCACTGCCCGCTCACAAGAAACTCAAAGCTCTACTTGAGTCAAATCGCGCACTACAACGGTTTCAGCAAGCTTCGCTCAATCGAGCAATGTTCATTTCCCATCATGTGTTCAAACCACAAGAAATTTGCTATAGCTGAGCCAAACCGTGAAGATTGAAGTTCTCAGATTTTTATATCGCAGAGACTATCATGATAAACGTTTAGCGCGCGATGTGAATCACGCAGAGCATTGAGTTTTCATGAGCGGGTGGTTTGAATTCACGCATCAAGAATCATTAAATATATTCGTAAGGAGTTAATTTTGGTAATTTTTGCTGGGCGCATCGCATTTTACGTGAAATTTTGGTTAAGAAGCATGTATCAGAAATGCTGCGAATGCCTCGTCTAGTGGTCCATTAGTGTTTTTATAATTTTGATTTATTTTTTCGCCCTTCTTCACTAAATTTCGCTCACGTCATCCGGGAGAAATTTCTCCGTCTCTACTTCACTCCTCGCACTGAGAAAAATGTTCTTGGTACCAATGTTTCAACAGGAATTCTTCATAAATCAACCAAGAATCTGTTTAAAGTGACAAGACAAGACGTATCTTTGAAGTAAAAGGGAGACTCTTAAAAAGAAAGAGGTTTCCTGTTTTTTTAACGAGCTATTCTGTCACGTCACATTTAACAGGGATTTCTGTTAATTTTCTCAATAAACTCGTCGACAAAATAACGAGTAGAACTTTTACAATGTCAAATCTTGAGAAAAATTTACACAAAAGTTCAACACAAAATTTGCAAGTGTTCCCAGAAAAACGACTAAATCGGCAAACTAAACTTTGCAACGCTTGCAGTTAAGCTGTTCTGGCTCTCAGCTCCTCATTTTAGTCCTGTCTCACAGTCTTGCTTTGTGAATAAGTTTTTGGACAAACTATAACTTAAGCTTGATTTGATTTATTACTGATGAGTATGAATTGGAAATCGTCAATCAAAACGTCTTCAACATGATAGTTAATCGATACGTATTTGAATCAACTTTCAAAGATGGTCTATACATAATCTGATTATGTGCTTGCCTGTTTGGTCCGTGTAAAAATTCAATTTTTTTGCGAAAGGGTCAGGACCGGTTAATGCTATTTTACTTTGAAAATCTCTTTCGCTCGGTCACATGGAAGTTTTTCGCCGACTCATTCACCGATTGAAAACAAAAAAAATTTCCAGGAATCCTCATGTTGATGGAAAAGCTTTACAAATTGTTGATATTATTATTATTCCTCTCCTTGCTCTCGTGCTTCCACGCTGTGGAGGCTTAGGGCCGGTGGAAAAATTGTTCACGAAAGTAGAACTTACGGGTGTTTTGAATCCACCACTCGGTTCAAAGTTCCAATGGAGGAACATGTGCTGTACTTGGCACAACACTAGCCACTCCTCCAATCACTAACATACCTATTGTGTGTGTGGCGCTGATGCCGAGGGGCTTTTCTTGAAACTTGGGGGCTACGCTCCCTGACCGCTTCGCTGCCCACCCCCCACCCCCTTCCCAAGCGCCTCGCCTTTCAGGCGCTACGCATTACGCGTTAATCTCATACTTTGATATTATAGTGTATGAAAATATGTGCTGCCACCCAACGACCTTCGTGCGAACTAGGCGGAAAGCACATTTCTTTCAATGAACAATGTACTATCTCACGGGAAAAAATGGATTGCTGGTTTAACAATTAAATTGATAGGAAATATGTCCGGCATGTTTCAAATGTACATTTTACAATAGTAGAAAGCAAATCTAACCACGGAGGTGCTTGAATTAGCATTTTTTTTTATTGTGAAATCTACATTGAAACATGTCGGACACTTTTTTAAACTACAAAATTGTTAATCAGAAATACCAATTTTTCCCGTGCAATGCGCTCTGGATATTTTGTGCAATACCGCAATGCAATGAAGGCTCAGTGTAGACATTAAAATATTATGCACCATCTTACACGTTCCGTTTTGACTGGCTTTTATACTTGAAATGTCCATATTTTTTGGTCAGATAAGACCGCTGGCCCGAGACTAATTATTCTGAAATCAATCACTAAAATCATTGTTCATTTCTGACTGTTCCAGGTGGATCTCCCCATCAGCACGGGTTCGCCGTTCCTGATCTATAGCTGACTTCGCGCTTCATTTGTCATATTTTTAAGTTATCTTTGTTCTATATTTGTTTTTTCTCTCCAATTTGCTTGTTTTTTTCTGCCTTTCTTTCTTTCACTCTGTGGGAAATGCATCCCATTCCTGCTCATATTGCCAACTTACCAACTGAATAATGTCTACAAAACATATGTTCAAACTGTTGGCTTACATTCATGTCTCTGTTTTTACATGTTTTATTAATTTTTCCCCATCAAAATCTGAAATTTTTTCTGTCAAAACAAAAGCATTGTTTCTTTGGTCTTGAATACATACATATTGCTCCGAGAGTACAGTACAGAGCGAAAATTGAAATTTGTAAATCGTATTTACGCATTGGTTTTGAAAATCTGTGCTCTGTTCCAATTAATTTTCCGATTATCCCCATTTCTTTTTTTAACACATTAAATCTTTAAAGTTAACCATTTCTTGGGAGATCCAAGTTTAGTAATTTTCGGTGATTGTAAAGAACTGCACATAAATTTGTAAATATTGTTATCTTAGAGTTAAGTCAATGTTGCCAAACGAAGAATCTCAAATTATTTTTTTACCTTTGAAGTAAGATAATTTCTTGTGTGTAGAGCATTTTTTAGGAGTCTAGGTTAAAGTTCAAAGTCTTTTGAGTGATCGGTAGTCGCTAAAAATTGTGAATTGAGATTGTATGTCCCTTAATTTTCTGTTTGTTCCTTCTATTCTGAGCGTTCGAAGGAAAGGACACGCAAAAGTATACGATATGTAACATACTACATTCAAGAGTTCGTGCTTGTTCATTTTTATAGCACTTGAGATCGGTACATAAACCAAGTAACCAAAGTACCTAGTAACCAAATTACCAAGTATTACAAATACGTGATCTGCTCGTGCTATTTTCAAAAATTCTTAAACGGAAGATGGTTATAATATTGCAACTGAGAGAAAATATTTGAATGGTTCGTTCTAGGCCATGAGAATAAGTAAAAATGTTTTTAAACCATGCACAATAAGCCATTAAACATGCTTGGTCCCAAATTTATTTTAGAATAAATCTCGACTCTTCGAATCTGCCAATAAATAGTTTTAATAAACATTTGCAACACTCGAGTCATTTCTAAGTTGTCTGTTGAGTTATTTTGTAAACATATAATTTAACGATATGTCAAAATTTGCGAAAAGAACCTTTTCCTCTATTCTGAGAAAAAAATCAGGGGAAAGTGGAGCAAATACTTTTTGCAGCTGGAAAAAAGTCTCCAAAACCACTATTTTTATAACTTCATGCGGCGAGACAACCTGCCAGATGTGTAACAGAATATTTTTAAGGATGCTTTCAGTGTGACTCAATAGACTCATTACATTGCAGCCCAATCAGCAGTCGCGATGATCATATTTTCATTTTATAGGTGCTCCTTTTAAGTACGTTTTTAGAGAGTCTTCTCTGAAAACTGAACATTTTTACTTGTACGTAAACTTTTGACTAAATTGCGAGCGCGTCTACGTACCGAAACTCTATTTTTGAAAGATTTATCGATATATTTTAAAAGATATTTGTCCAGCCTCCCACCGAGATTCTGTCTGAATACTGCGGTATTGTCGCCCTCCTGACTTAAAGACGTAAGTACACTTCGGGACGAGCCCTTTCGTACTTATATCTCAATGCTTTCCTGGGCTCTTATCGAAGTGTACTTACGTCCTTTTGTCACCTAAGCGACGATTTGAATACCTATTTACTTACTGCGAGGCTCGACTGCGACCTCATACCTGCCTTTGGCTTATCTCCATTTTAAGAACTTTATTAATTTGAGTCCACTTATTTGATTCTTCAAAATTTCATTCCTCCTAGCCATCTCGCTAATTCCCTAAGTAATTTTTTCCCCCATTAAAGTTGGAAGAGATTTTCTCCATTGCTTTGTCAATTAAATTTACTGTCGTGTCAGATATCTCCCTAGAACTATTTTAGATGAATGTCTCGTTCTATGTCCTTCCCCAGATTGATTGTTTATCATTATTATTATTATTATTTTTTTGGCAATTACCGACCATTTAAATTGAGGCTATAATTAATTAAGTATCTCGCATTTGCTCTCAAAGTTTTTGATTATTTTCTTATTGTTCGCCCCATACTTCTTGGTTATTTCGTCTCTCTTCCATGAATTTTTATTATTGACTTTTTCGTTACTATTTTAAGTGTCACTTAAATTTCTCTCTCATTCATTTTTTTTTATTTTTTACTTTTTGATACTTTTGAATGTTTACAATCTTTCATTATTATTGGTGATTTACTTCGGGCCGGATTAGCTTGTGCGTATCATTTTTTGATATCAGTTGATCTGCGTTCGATTTTTTTTTATTTTTTCCCTCATCATTTCCTTTCTCTCAAACAACAACAGAGAGCGACTTTTAGGATCTTTTTTAGTTTTTGATTGTTATGTATTACATTCTCGTAACTCCAACCTCAGTGCTTAAGGGTTTGTGCAAAAGTTACAAAGTTTTTAATATCGTTGTCAGTTTTCAAATTTCTGTGTCAAAGTCACCCTCTGTTTTTCTTAATTTTATCAATTTGTGAGAAAACGTTATTCAATAAATTACCAAATGACAGTTCCACTTCTCTCGCAATTATTTACATAACGCTTGAAAAAACCTAATTTAACAGTATGAGCAATTGACTACATGCGTGTCTGAATTGACAGTGACCAGTAAAAGGGGTCTTGTATAGTTTTCATTTACTTCATATATCGTGAGATTTGTTCGGCCAAGTACTTTATCAATCAATGGCAAAATTCCTTGCTTCGAAACTTTTACTTCATAGAGGATACACGTAAAAAGCCCGAAAGCTGAGGATCTGATGACATGTTGAAAAACGCAACGTTCCTTATGAGTAAAACGAAGCAACTGGTGAATCTTAGAGTCCCTTTATACTGAGAGTCAAGACAATTCGGCTCATGGATGTCACAAACGGGAATAAAGATTACAGAAATTGAACGTTTTTCGTAATCTTTGATCGGCCCATTCTCAAATGCCTTTCTCCGTTCCTTCTCTCATTCCGTTTGTTCCTTGCCGAACCCGTAATTCCCTGGTCCATTCCAGATTATAATCTTTGCCATTGGTAAAAATGTAATCTTTATTCCCGTTTGTGACACTGTGGAGGCCTAAAATACGGGAACCAATCAGAAATGGATTCAAATTGTCTTGACTCTCAGTATAAAGGGACTCTAGTGAATCTTTTGTCGCTCCTTTTGGCGTCAAGGCCAGTGGCGTGACGTGCTTTGCGATGTGTCGATTGGTCTGCCATTTAAACCTATGGAAAAGGATCGATAAACAGGGGTGTTCGCAGCGAACACCTTAATAATCTATTCTTTACCATAGGTTTAAATGGTATGACAAGCGATACATCGCAATTCACGCCGCGTCACCGGTCAACGCGTACCTGAATTTCCAGGGAAGCTCTGAAAAGCGTAGAGTGTCATGAGCGACAGGGCTCACCTCAAACAGTAGTTACGCCTTCAGGTCAGAGGAGCAGCGAATGGGTCAGGGGCTTGGAATTTTTGCAGGGTTCTGCTAGGTACATAGTTTTTCTTGCTTAATATTTTGTGAAAAACCAAAAAGTTTATTTAGAAAAAAAAAAACTTTAAATAATCATCTCGAACAGGAGGAAAAGCTATCAAAATCCGACAAATGCAATGCCAAAAGCCGACAGTCAAGTTGACCTAGCAAGACGGTGCCTGGAGATGAGTTCAGCCAATGAGCATTGAGCTACGCAGTGTCCATCTTCTCTCTATAGGTCTTGCTACATGATCGAATTCCCGAACCGATTACCATCAAAGTGTCGGGAGTCATCAGTCTTAAAATCTTTACTTATTCGCTTAGTTTTCAAACGCATAAAGGCAGAAATGTTTCGTGAGGCAAGAAATGAGTCTAATTTTGATCAAAGAAGACTGTTGCATGGTGACCACCAGTCATGAAAATGGTCTACTTTGATCGGAATCGGTTCGGAATTGGATCGTGTATCGAGGTCTCATTTGACGGTATTTGATTGCATCCCAGTTCAACAGGACATATTTCTATCAAACATAACTACAAGCAGGTGAGAAATATGGGATTTGCTCTAGAAAGCTAAAGCTGGATAAGAAACAATGTAGAAGTGGGCGTGATTCCTTTTGAAGAATTGGAAAAGCGGGATTTTAAATTGAGCAAAGAGAACTATGTGCCAACTGAATGCGGGATATATGAGCCGCGGACATGGCACGAGAGCGTTGTGGACAGGGCTCATGAGTTAATAACCACTACGCTACGACCGCGACGATGGCATCCATCTGCGTTGAAGTCACTGGCGCTTTATTATTCTCATTGACTCTTCCGGCCAGAGAACTGACGAGCACACCCCATGTTTCACACCTCCACATAAAAATCTGTTTGATAGAGATACGTCCAACTGAAGAAAACAAATTCAAAATCGGGCTGGCAAAATTAGGTTTTGCCAAGACTGTGTGGCTGTTTTCCACTTCTTTGGAGGAATTCAATCACCTCAAACTATCAATATTCTCGGCATGCCAATACAAGACTAATTACCTATTGAAAATTTCCGGGTACCAAGCTCATGAAACGAAAGCCTCTAGGATTTTTTATTTATTCATTTATTTATTTTTATTTTTTTTTACAGTGAGTAACATTATACGTAATCTTTAGCAACATCTAAAAGCGCTTACTCGGTTTTGAATTTCCACACTTGAAATGAATCTGATTCTACTGGAAGGATGCATGCCCACAATTTTCAATTTTTTTCTTATTTTTTTAATTTTTTCTTCATTTTGGGCCCTCTGAATAGTACTTGCACATTTTCTGATTTTTTTTTTTTTTTATTTTGAAAAAAAAGTAGCACCTCATTTGTTCCTTCACGGAAATGGCCACACGTCCATGCTTTGCAAATGAATACCGAAAATGAGCGATAAAACTTTCAAAAGTCATTTCGAACCAACTTTTTTTTAACCTAAAACTGTTTCAATTCCTCTTCAATTTTTTTGTGAAAGACTGCGAAGTCGAAAATTTCAAATTTGCCTGAAAGTGTGCTAAAACTTTTCCCATCGGAAAAATTATTCTAGAAATTTCAAAGAGACGTTGACACCTTCTTTGGAATCGTTCATAAACTATATGTAAGGTGGAACATGGAATTTTCAACTCGGCCTCACCTTCTCGTACAACTCTTTCATAATATGGACAGGGATCGGGATTTCCCTATCCTTAAAAACAACGTATGTGCTATTTGTTTCCCTATGCACATAAGTGTTTTTTCCATAAGAGCCAGAATTTATAGTTCCAAATTGCAAAATGCAGTCCATTTTAGGGACGGCCCCTTCGAACCTTTAAGATAATTTTCAGTCATACAGAAAAAAAGGAATTATTCGCATTTCGGGCTTATTGGATTTCGACCTATTCATGCTAAAAGGACCTATGTGCATAGAGTTTGCGTGTAACATAGTTTCTTTTAGTATAAATACGTCCATTTAATCGATGAAGTAGGTAGGTGCAGCCGCTTTTTGTAATCGATTTTCTTGAAAATTGTGTAGTTTATGGGAAAAAACCGTTCTACACAATGTGCTCGAAATTATATTTTGAGTTGAACCAAGCAAGAAAAACGGGCTTTGTGATCCGTTTCTCCTAATTTGAATTTCGAATTTTGCTGGAATGCGTGTAGAGAGACTCTTTATTGCGCCTCCCTACGTCACGAGGGTAACAAAACTCAAACTGCGACTCCCTTTTTTTTCTCTAAGATTTTCAGTTCCATGTTTCCGTGGCGCGGCATTTTTTTTTTTTTTTTTTTTTTTCATTCATGTAAAAAGTACATAGCTATTTACACACACTGGAAAAAAAAACACATTGGATCTAGAGTTCAGACTCTTGAGCCCATTGACAAGAAAAACATAGGTACTCCTGACTCAATCAGATTTAAGCTTAAATCAAAAGGAAATCCGCTCAAATTAAGAGGCTGGGTTCTTGATTTAAGCTTAAATCCGATTGAATCAAGAGTTTTTTTCCTGTCGAGGTTTTTAAGAGTCTGCAGGACTCTAGATCCAATATGTTTGTTTTCCAGTGCATAACATTTTCAGATCAGATAGGTCTTTTTAAAATTTAGTTTTTTTGTTTCACCTGCCGCGGCGAGATGTGAACGATCGATTGATATACCTCCTTTTGAAGCTGTGGTAAAAATCGATTATTAAGGTGTTTGTTGCGAGCACCTTGTCCATCGATCCTTTCCCATAGGTTTAAATGGAGGATCCATCGATATATCACGCGACGCCACTGCAGCGTTTTGCCTTATCTGTCATACGGTTTGAGGACTCGCGCCGCCCTCCGATCAGAGAGCGATTCAACCGCTCACCCAGTATCTGGATTTTTTGATCGAGTCGACAACATGGTCCTTCATCTCTTCGTGGGAGAAGGAGCAAATATTCGAGGGTAATAAAAAACCGAGTGACTGCTTACAAAGTTGCGCTGGTGTCGAACCCTTACAATGTATACATGAAGAATCCGGGAGTCCCGCGATATTGGATCGCGGCCTCTTATCTTTCGTCCATGGTCGTAGTTGGTCTCCAGTTCTTCCGGGGCAAGGTTGCCAAATATGGATATTTTACACGGGTTTAAATGGAGAAATATCTACTTGTCAGCACTATCTGTCACCGCAACGGCCGGGGGCCCGAGAACCGTCCGATGGCGCGGGCGTCCGACTTCAAAAGTCACCAAGTGTAAATGCCGCCAATTTCTCACGCGAGCCGGTCCTTCCGCGAACCCCCCTCCCCACACCAACCTCAAAGACGCAATTGACGCATATGACCAGTTAGAAAAGCGTAATTCGAAGCACGGAGACTGCCGTCTCAATTGCATGGGTATTTGCTCTTCGGTTTTTTTCGAAGACCACCTGCCCGCTGGACTTTGTAGAGGCCGTTCATGATGCCGTGCTAAGGGATAGAGTCCCTTTATACCCAGAGTTAAGACAAGTCGATTATCAGCTGACTGGCAGCCGGCCTTGGCTGGCCATGGAGGCCGAAACGAGTGCACCCAAACGAACGATATTGAGGGATAAAGATCAGGAATCCTGCGATGTCTGTCACACAAAAACAACAACATCAACAAATTGATCAGTTAAAAAGAAAATGAGATTGGTTTGTGAATAATTTCTTAATCTATTTTCATTTTGGACCGATGGCAATAACAATTTACTCTTGATAAACCACAATTAGGTAATATTTTCATTATTCTTGTTCACATTCGAGGTACCGTCATCTTGGTGCACTCGTTGCGGCCTCCATGAGCGAGAACCAATCAGAATTGGATTTTTTTTTAGGCCACTTTCAGCCCAATCCTGGCCCAACCAAAAGTGAGTTGTCTCAACTCTGGGTATAAAGGGACTCTACTAAGGGAAAACGCCGTATGAACATTCAAGATTTGCTACATTTCCCTTGATAAAACATGTATTATTGACAACATTTATGCTAATTTTTCCTTCAAATTTTCGGATATTCTAGACTAAATTTCGTCCAAAATTGTCTGAACATTTTGTAAAATAATATTCACAATTTTCCCAGTAATTCCGGTTTTTATCGGAGAAA